CCAGGTGTGCCTGCTTGAGCGGGAAAGTTGGACTAGATGATCTCTAGAGGTCACTTCCAACCTTGAATAGCCTGTGATTGTGTGAACTGCCTTTTGGAGGCTGGAGGCAGCGGCGCGGTGCAGCCCAGGGGCTGATGTGGAGCGGCGCCGAGCAGCGAGCGCCCGAGGCCACCGAGGGAGAGGAACCGCGCATTGCGTTGCGTTGCGTTGCGTTGCGTTGCGTTGCGTTGCGTTGGGTCGCGGCGCCGGGCTGCGAGCGAGTGAGCGCCAGCACGTGTCTCCCCGCGCGCCCCCCTCCAGCAGCCCGCCGACATCTGCAGCGGGCCAGCTAATGAATACAAACGAGCGCCCCGTGCCCCGCCGGGGGGTCTTTAGCACTTCACACGTCCCCGCGACGTTGAGTAATCGCCCGGGCAGCCCCGCGCCGGCAGCGCCTCCGTCCCCCGGCGCGCGGCACCGAGATGAATGAGCGCCGAGGAGCCACGGCAGCGCGGTGATTTTTCATCCGCGCCGTGGCTTAACCTTTCGCGAGCAAATCGGATTTTCCGTGCCGCCGTCCCGGCAGCCCAACCTGCATTAAGGGCCACTGGGTCAGGGAGGGGCGGCGGTGATTGATGCTGCTCCTCGCTAATCGCGTTCGCGGGCCGGCAGGTATTGATGGGCGCCCGCCTTTGATGCGCGGCTCTCGGGAGCCTCCGCTCCATCACCGCCCCGCAGAATGCAATTAGCAGCGCCGCTCAAGCACGTGTGCTGCCTCTCCTCATCAGCCCAGCGCACGGCGAAGATGGAGGGGCTGTCACTGGCGGGACGGCCACCCGSTCCCACATGGGGACCGGAGACGCTACGGTGCGTTTTGGAGGAAATGCCRGGGAAGCAACGACACGGGAAGGATGAGGAGAGGGAGGATAGTTGTGTAACTCGATGATCTTGAAGGTCTTTTCCAACCATAATGGTCCTAGGATTCTCTGATTTTGCCCACGTGATCCGGCTTTGCTTCTTCCCCATCACCTGCTACCACTGGCTGATGCTGTCCCAGCACCTTGGTGCCCACCCACCTGGAATGTCCTCTCTTGGCATCACAACTGCTCCTCTGGGTTCCTCCCTATCTGACCCAGTTTCACATCCCAAATCCAGGCATTCCACTCCCCGTGTTCCCCTGCCCGCCCTGTTCTTCCCCCGTGTGTAACGTTCTGCACTCATTCCTCTTGGATTTCACCCTCTCTTCTTGCCAGGGGAGGTGCAATCCTTTCCCRATCTGTTTCATCTCCCTCACTTCCGTCCTCACCACAGGTCTTGCTATCTCCACGCTATCTATTCCTTTCCCTTCTCATATCTGTTTATCTGCTACATCAAACTCCTCCTCTACCTGGTTTTCCTCCTCCTGTGCTCTCTGGGCATGTGATGACAGCAGATTTGGACTAGATTTCTTCCTCCACTTTTGCTTTCAGCTTTCCAGTCATTCCAACTCCAAGTGCTTCAAGGGTGGCACTTCTTCTTCAGAGTCCACTTGGAAGGGTTTGTCCTGGAAAAGGAGCTGCAGGGGGTATAAAAACTGTTCAAAACACTCTTGGCTTTTGCCAAATCCAGTTTAACCCAGTACATTTTTTGGTAATTTCTTTTTTTTTTTTTTTGACAGAAAAAGTAGAGTTGTGCTATCTAAATCTGCTTGTGAGACAAAGCAAYACCTGCACAAACAGGGATCAGAGTATCAAGACCTGGGAAGACCCTGGACAACCATGAAGAGCAGAGTGAAAGCAAGGTGGTGAGATTTGATAGTGCAACATGTGATGTCAGGGACCAAGGAAAGAGCCTTTCACCTCAAAACAGCTGAAGAGGTAGAAGACCTGGGTATGAAAGTCCCTGGCCTATAATAATGCAATAGTGCTCATAATGAGGGACATCATACTGCCTACAACAAGGCAGTTCTGCCACAGCTCTGTGACAAATATCACCATAGCGTCTGATGAGTCATTTCCAGGGAAGCACTAACGCCTCTGTACTTGGCCTTCCTTGGTGTCATGCATCTTCTTGGGCGGTGTCAAGAAAGAGCTCAGAAATATGTACGAGAAATGGCAGGGAGAACATGATGGGGAGCAGGAAGTCCCTGGGCTTTTCCAGACAGGGAAATCCTCAGCTGGGAAGAGCGCCCGATCTCTTCCTCTACGTGTACCCTGAGATCAAACAGCGGGGAAGCAAGTGRGTTATTAAGGATGAAGAACAAGCGCTGGCACAAAAGCACGTGCAGCCTGGTCACAGCTAAACACAGGCATGGAGACTTGTAAGCATCTAGGAAATAAGGTTCTGGAAAGGCCAACAAATTCTAGAACAAAATCCTCACTCATTCAAAGAGGCAATTTAAAGAAGAATGATATATATATATATATATATATAATGCTGCGGGATCTGATGGGTCACAAAATCCTTGTCCGCCCAACACTCCCAACAGTGAGGCTCCCAGCTGGGGGCTCTGAGGTCTGATTTGTCCCCAGCTGTTCTGGGTGGTGTTACCCAGCCCCTACGCAGAGACCTGCATCCCAGCTAGTCACCCTTTAGAGCCAGTGAAGAGAAAGGGACTCCCAAATCACCATTACTGGGTCCTCAAGCTGATTTGGGGGTCTTAGGCAAGGCTTATGCTCCRCTCTTCAACCTGCAGCCTCCACCTTGACACGAAAAGTTCGGTAAGAGCTAACAGTTTTCCTCCTTTTCGCCTTCTGCTGTAGTAGTTTTATGAAGAGCTGAGTCCTGCAAGCACAAGCAGGGAGGGCTTTTTTTCTCCTTTTCTTCAAGGCAGGCAACACAAATGCTTTTGAACAGATCCTTCGGAGCATTTATGTCCTCCTGCCTCTGTCCCTTCTTGCCTTCACCTTGGTTTACCTCTTCAGCTCCTTCCTTGATGAGGTTGGCTGAGGTTGCAGAAAGCGGAGTTGTCACATGAGCCCTGTCTCCATCCCACRGGATCATCCTCCTTAAGGCAGACAGCGTCAGGCAGCGCAGGAACAGAGCTGCCACGGGGCGCAGTAAGGGCTTGGGACTGGAAGATGCCTCCATCAAGCTGTGAATTTGCTATAGGAGAGTCTCCTGGGTATGGGACAGCCCCAGTCTGCATCTGCACCATATCCCAGGGTTTGGGCAACAGGACTGCAATACGATCCCAGTCCAGTGGGGTGTCCCTCCATGGGTTGCAGGGGGGTCCCATGCAGTCCTGAGGACACCCAGGACAAGAAGTTACGTGGGGCAAGGACAGCTGGCCTGCAGCAAGCTCCAGCCTTTCTTCATGCCCTAGTTCAGGCACCACCACGACATCCCCCTGCATCGCAGCATCCCTTCCCGTCAGCCTCTGCGTCATCGCTCGTGGCAKCAAACCCTTGTTTTGCAGATGGAGAACCATGCTGAAGACTAAGGGATTTGCCCAAGGCCACAGCTCTGAACTCAGATTTTCCCAGTGCTGGGGTACCTTGTACCAAAATCCTCCCATGGAACTGCGTGGCCCCGGGCAGGATGGAGGCCGACGGGATAAATGGATTTGTAACAAGTGTTGGAGGTACTCAAGGGCTATAAACACCRAAGTCCCCAGGTAACCTGGCTCAGAAAAGCCAAAATGGTGACACTTGGGCTCTGCTGGCCCTCCTGAGCATCTGCTGCTGGCCACCGATCCCGGGAGCATGGAGGTGCCCTTGCTAATCCCGAGGAGATGAGAAATCTATTGCATGAGAGCAAGCACATATATGATGTGAGCATGGGCCAGGGTCCTGCTCTGGTGCAGAACATGAAAAATAGAAAAAAAAAAAAAAAAAAAAAAAAAAAAAAAAAAAAAAAAAAAAAAAAAACCCAGAATTTGAAGGAAGAAGAACCCTTCGTTGAAAGCCTCTTTGATCTTTAGCATCCTTGCTAATACAGAGGCATCCAAATTGGAGACATGATGGCCGGAGCAACCACATTTAGAGCGTCAAACACAGTGGTGGCTTTGACCTTCTCTAGGTCTCCAAGATCCCCATCTCACTTCTCCAAAGATGCGAGCTAGAACATTGTGGCCAACCCACCACCTACCACGACCCCATGTTCTTGCCCACAACTATGGCCTTCTCCACCCTATTCCACTTGGTGAGCTTGGGATCTTTGACCTCTAGGGATTTTCCTTGACAATGGGGCATCATTTTGCAGAGGCAGGTCCCAGAGGTCCCAAATGGGACAGTTTGGAGTCCTGGATCCGCTCTGGCCCTGGCCATGTCCCCCTGATGTGCCAGCCAACCCCGTGTCCCTCCCTGGACCCCGGGGCACAAAGCCACACGTAGCACAGGCGCTTATTTAAACAGTTATATGCTGTATTGTTTAATAGAAGTTACAATAGGGTAAATGTACAGTTGTGATCAACATGCTAGTTCTAACGCAATTCAACCTGTAAACCATGCAGTCCATTTTATTTTTTTCTTCTAAATCAGTCCATTTTTTTATATCAGTAGCTCTGCTAGTGAGTTTTAAGGAAAGAAAGGAAAAAAAAAAAAGTTCCCTTTAAAATTAAACCTAATTTACTAAATTTTCCCCTTCCTGTGCAACGACTTGTGCAAAAAAAGCTTTTTTTTTTYCTTTTTCTTTTTCTCACCACATTTAATTTACAAAAACTCAGGCCTTCCACCCCTCCCCAGGCAAGAGGAGGAAAAGGCAGCAGAGGCCAACGGGCCCCTAGGAGTGGGAGTGTGTTGGGGTCGAGCAAGACGCCGGYGGGACGAGCAAGGGACTTGCCAGGAGTGACCTTCAATGATCCACGTGCCACCACGCTGGCCTGGAGGGCCAAGGGAGGAGGACGCCTGATGCTGCCTCCTCCAAAACTCCCCAAAAAAAATCTTAAAAAAAGAAAAGAAAACCCTAAGGACCCTCCGTGTCTGCACACGGATGGGTTAATAGCAGCATCACTTACTTTGGGGTGGGAACGGGCGCTTGCAGCGGGCTCCTCTGCCCCTGCCCTGCCTGCACGTTGCGGGGCTGCAGCACGGGCTTCTCCCTCCTAAGCAATCCCAGCCGCACCAGAGGACACCCATCATTAGCAGGAGGTTTACAGGGGGTTTTAAATGTCTTGCAGGGCTTTCTAGACGATCCGTTTAAAGGATTAATGCTATTTTGAAGGGATGGAACGGCATCTCTTGGAACAGAAGTTAATTGGGAACAGAGCACCAAAATTCCATTTTTCACCCCCGTGATGTGACTTGCGGTTAAGGCTGCCTGACCTCCCGGAATCGGAAACTCTCGGGCCCTCTCCGTGCCATTCCCGGYGCTCGGCACGGCCTCGGCATGAGGAGCCACAGGGAAACCCATGGCAGCGGGAGGAGACCCGTGCGGGACGGCAGGAACGGCGGCGAAGGCTGCAGCGCCGCTGACGAACGCGGCTCAGGATCGTGTTTGACAGCCCAGCCTCCCGCTAATAAATCCCCGGAGATGCCGTGTGTGGAGCTTGCGGATGCTCGGCCGTCRCCAGCCTCCGTAGCAGCTTGAAGTATTTTAAAGTGCTTCTTACTATTTATTTAATGGCCCTTAGCGCGAGCGCCCCGCGGACTGAAGCTTCCCATGTTATGGTCACCACCAGCTATCTTGGGATTGGTTTCAGGCTCTTGGTAGGACCTTGATGGCTTGGAGGAGGCTGAGGTGACTTGCTGAGCAGCTCATTCTGCCTGGTTTTGCCCTCACTTCTCTTATTGATGCTATGGCCCCTCTATCCTGTGGTGGCATCACCAGGAGATGGGAAGGAGGTCCTGTGGTCCACACTGTTCCATGGGAGACAGCAGGGGCACCAATGGCTTCCCCACGGCCAGCAAGATGCCTTGCCAGGTGGTGAGGGTGGTTCTCCTTCCATGGATTCTCCATGGGGTCTCCACCTTGCCAGGTGGTGGGGATGGGTACCCCACCACCAAGGAGCTGCATGGACCTTCTCACCAATGGGTAGGTGGCCAACTTCATGGTTATGGGGAGGCGCTGGCCTTGCAGAGAGCTGAAAAGAAGTCGCCATTGGGGGTCAACTGATTTTGCTTCTTCACTTCACTCTGTCTTGAGTGCAAGCACTTGTGGGCTTATGTGGGGACATCTCCACCAAGGCTGAGCCCTTTCTGGTCAACTTTCCGTCACCTGCTTCTTTTTCCTCCATCCTTCTTGTAGGTACTTTAYGGGTTAAACCAAAAGTGCCCACTGATTCCCCCATCAAAGAGAAGAACCATAAAGCCATCTTCCAACATTTGGTCTTCCCTGTCATCAACGAGAATATCCCATCCATTGGTCCTCATGTTTGGAGATTGCTTTGATGGGGCAAAAGTTCATTGCTTCCAATGTGCCTATTTACTTCCAGGGTTAAGTACCATGTACCCTTATATATATWTWTTTTTWAAAATGTATTGCTGAGGAAGGAGGAGGGAAAATAAAGCACCATCCCCTTCAGGTCTTCAGAGCAGTCAGAATTGCTCCCCGAGTAAGAGCCCCAAAGCAAAAAGTGCATCTGGTGAGGAAGGAAAGGGCCGAGGTGCAAGAAGGAAGCGTCACGACACAGCAGCGTTGAGAGCAGCCCTGTCCTTCTACGGTGTGGAAGGAGTCTGAGAAGAACAAACCTCGCCTGGAAGGTTAGAGAAGGTTTACTGACCTCCTCCAGGAGTGATGTTGGGTGAGGACAATCTGGTGCATTTGATGTTAAAAAAAAAACAGTCGGATCCAGGAGGATCCAGCATGGCCAGGGTGCTTATGTACACACTGGAGACTTTAATTCCCTTCAATACGGCATTGGGGCTCGGCAGGTGGGGGAACCAGCTGGATAAGCTTCCATCTGCAGTAATTAGGGTCAGAAGGGTAAAGAAAAGGGCAAAAGTCCCCTCTCTGCATAACTCAAAACCCACAAAGTGCCCTGATAGCAGCAGGGTTGTCCTCACCGGGTGCCTTGCTCGGAGGGGATGATGTTTGGGCACCTCCAGTGCAAGGAGAAGCTGGTCCTTAGGCTCGGTGGAACCAGGCTGAGTTGGCTGCTGCCGCTGCTCTGCTTTGGGACCATCCAGGATGTTGGTGCTGATTCCCCCGGGCGGATGCAGAAGGATTTAGCTCCAGACTCGCACTGTCTATSCGTGTTTAATGAGGCCACTCGTGAGCCCCGTTGCATGTGGCATGGGTACAGAAGACAACAGCAGGTCCTCGCGGTGCAGCAAGGCATCTGCAAGCTACGGTGCAAASCAGCCCTTACCGGCAGGGGGAAGAAAATTAAATAAAATGAAAGAGAAAGGTTGGGAATTCATTTTGCCCCTCTTCCCACACAAAACCAACGCGCTAATTTGCAAGGCAGGCTAACAAGCGACCCCAATGTGTGTTGTTTCACTGGAGCCAGTGGAAAGAATGGGAAACCGCGGCTGCTTCCAACATATATATATATATATTTGCTTTCGTTCGTTCTGCAGTTGAATAACTTAACAAAGGAAAGTTGAGCTGATGCTTCGAATTTGGCTTGCACAAAATAATCATTAATAACAGCGTGGGTATGAAACTCCCTGCGAGCCTGCAGCCTTACAGCCCCCTGAAAATAGGAGCTTGTGCCGGCGGCGCCCAGCCTGGCTCGCCCTCCTTCCCTGCTTGCTGCGCGAGGCCGTGTGTCAGGAAGGGAGGTTTCGTGGAGGCTACAGAGGCGGATAGGAAAACACGGGTGCTCTCTCGGAGCAAGGAGGCCGAGCGCGGCGGAGGCCGAGCGCGGCGGGGAGGTCTCGGCGCCTTCACGAGTGGTGGCTGTTGATGAGGCCGCGCAGCTGCTTGGCCACGGTGTCGATGAGCTTCTGCTTGTCCCGCTCGTTCTTGCGGAACTGGGCGAACAYGTTGTTCTTGCGGCTCGTGTCCCGCATCCTGCGCAGGGTGGAGAGAGGCTGGTGAGCGTGGGGTGGGCGCCCCGGGTCCCCAGCGCGGCGCCCCGGACCCACCGCCCGCCCGGCGGCCCTTCCAAGGTGTGTGCAGTGGGGGAGAGGGGGTGCCGGCCTCCAAATGGTCCGTTCCCGTTTTTGGGGAACGGGTTTGTGCCACAAGGGGTGGCACAAGTCACAACCCATGTGGCCTGTTGTCTTGCTGCATTCTGAATGGCAATACCTACCATGTTAAGAGATTAATGGCAAAAGCACCAGGAAAGTAAAGATTTAGCACCGAATCTGCAGCATTGCTGTTTACCATTTACACTGGTTGCATGCAGCCAAGAGGTGCAGCTCTCATGACAGCTGCACAGTTTTCGTGCTGCTAAGGGCATATGTAGGGTCAAACCCCTTGGGTTTCCCCCAAATCTTCTCGAGATTTGCATTTTTTAATTCCCTCCACTCTCTTAACTTGAACTTTTAGGGCACCAAGTAGTGCACTGGCCTTAACAAGTGCCCCAAGGGCTCTGCCAAAACGAGGCAGCTCTGTTTCTCTGCGGCATGCAATGCTGCAGCCCCATACATGCTGGTGCTTGCAGCTGCAGTGCCGTGCATGCTTGTGTTTGCAGCTGCAGCTCTGTGCACGCTTGCACTTGCAGCTGCAGCTCCGTGCATGATCATGTTTGCAGCTGCAGCCCCATGCACACTCGTATTTGCAGCTGCAGCCCCGTGCACGCTCGTGTTTGCAGCTGCAGTCCATGCATGCTCGTGTTTGCAGCTGCAGCACCGTGCACGCACGAAGCATTAGTTCTGCAAGCAAGCCACGTGCTAAAGCTGCAAAGCAAAGTGCTCCAGAAAGAGTCGAGCCTTCCACGGGGCAGTAGCAGATCCTAAACGCAGCTTGTGCCTGCCGAGAAGGGGTCACTATTTTTTATAATTGCTGGGATTTGCAAACGATTTTCTAGTTAAATCAGGCGGTCTGGGATGAGCCACATCAGTCTGTGTTTTCAGCTACGGTACCTGGATGAAGCCTCGTGGTGATTGGGAAATAGTGATGATCATCCTTGGAAAGTTGGCAGTTCCTCAAATTGGGGGGGCTGAACTACCCCAGCACCAAACAAACCTCTTGAAAGTTACTTAACAGATTAAAAGAGCAAAATAAAATAAATACCCACGTTTCTTCAGGCTTCAGTCTTCCTCAAAAGAGCCAAAGGGAATCTGAAACGTTCCCAAAGAACATCTAGCTTGGAACTGAAAACAAGGCTAACAACTTTATCCCAAAGGGTAATTTGCTGAAGTTACAAGTGCCCAAAGACACGGGATTACAGCAGAGCTGCTTTCCCAACAGTAACAAGATCGCTTGGAGCACTTTTATGCCGCAAAAGCAGCAATTTTTCTTTCTTTTATGTATTTATTTTTAAATCCAAGCAGGTTGCCAGTGGCTGCACTGTGTGAACGGGGCCACAGAGACCCTGTTGGGTAGCAAGGTTTTAAGGTTGCAGGTGAGAAGACTTATTCCCATGAAATCTTACTTTCTCAGAAAACAGGGTCTCGTGCAAGGAAAAATCACCTCTGTGCCTTTGGCTGAAACACAGAGGAGCTGCCTGGCTGCAGTTATGGATGAGGATGACGACAGGCTCGAGTCAGAGCCCTCGTTTGTGCGCACAAGAACCTGAGCACGATAGCGAATGCGGGCAGCGGGACCTGCGGAAGCTGGAGCTACCTCCAAACCTCCCGAGTACTCAGGAGAGCCCCAAATTCCCAGTACAGGACATCCCAGGCCTGGGAATCTGCAGGTACTAAGTGCTCGACAAATGGGACATCCGGGGTCCTGATGGTTCTCTCAAAATCTGTGTACTCCTTGGGACAGATGCCCCCCACAAAGCTCAGTCGCCGCTGGGACMTGTGTTAGTGGTCACACACAGCTAGGCATCTTTCCAAAGGACTGAGCATCCAATTTCTAGTCTTCTCCAAACSACTTTATGCCCTTAGTCTCACTGTGTATCCAGGGAATTCGGGAGCGTCCGCTGGGCATCAAAGTCATGGACTCAAYGTGGATGGAAAAATATCCTTCCAAAACCGTGGCACAACTGAGGACTAATGCAGCTGGGAATGGCACAAACSGGACTCGCAATCTGGGACCATGGCCTCTATCTCCAGAGCTGCCGGCACGGCCAGAAGCACACAGGGATTTCATAGGGATTTGCTCCCGATCCGCAGACTCCAGTCTGTTTCACCTGGCCATGGGGAGCACCTGATCTTCCCGTGGCTGTAGGCGCCGCCACAGCCAGCCCTGTGAATCGGGACGCCAAGAATATCAGGTTTAAAAGAGCCAGGCCGTGTTTCTGAGCAGCTAAGAGCTTCTTTGGAGGTTCAACGCTTCTTAAAGCTTGTGCCTGCGGAGCACGAGGTCAACTAGATCCACTTTGGCCCCGGCGTCCCTACGCAGCAGCATTAAGAATGAGAAGCGGAAGGAGAGGGGAAAGCTCAATGCTGTCCCCACCCCTGTCAACAAACACCACCTTAAATGGAGGCGAGCTTTGTTTAAGTTAATCTATAAAGGGGRAAAAAAAAGAAAAAAAGCGACAGAGTAAAAGCTCCTCTTTTAGTTGTAAGTAGTGCATTTGAGACGATAGAGTTACCGGCGGGAACCGTTTCAAAGCCAGCTTGCATTTAGATCGTTTAGTGCTCCATTTAAATCAAACAATAAAGTCATTGCAAGGTGAAGGTAAAAGCCCAAGCAAGCAGCATACTTACACTCGTGATATCCTACGAGAGAGGTGTGATTAGGAAGAGAGATAATCGTGAAAACAAGTTAAAAAGAAAAAAAAAGGAAAAAACGAAGCGGCGGATCAGAATTTCACGTCGCCCTGTTGCCAAGGCTGGTTAGGGACAGGGAGGCTCTGCCATCTGGTCTCCCTCTTTGGAGAGGACCTTGTGTGCCTCGAACTAGAGCCCAGCCCAACASAGGGTGTTGGAGGGACCTTTCGGGAGGATGGGGCAGCCGCTTTTCAGTGGTGGCCACTGAGAGAACTAGAGGAAACGGCCACAAAATGAAGCACCAAAAGTTCTGCAGGAACTTAAGGAAAAAAATCTTGACAATGAGGGTGCCCGAGCCGTGGAACAGGCTGCCCAGGGAGGTTGTGGAGTCTCCTTCTCTGGAGATCTTCAAAACTTGCCTGGATGCAGCCTGTGCCCCGTGCTCTGGGTGACCCTGTGTGTGCAGGGTGGCTTGGACTAGATGGTCTCTAGAGGTCCCGTCCAACCTTAAGGATTCTATGATTGTATGATAATATCATACAGTGCATGCATGCAAACAACGCTGTAATGCACTAAAGTGCTTTCCAAGCACCTGCGAGGACAGCTTGGTCTCCAGATATCCTCCTGACAATGTTTATGTGCCAAGAATTGATGTGAAATCAGGTATTCTCACACCAGAAAAGAAGAGATACCCACTGCAAAAAAAGAGGTACCCCAAGAAAAAAGAACTCGAGTTCATCCTGAGGATTTGCTTTCACATTAAATCTGAAATAATCCAACTGGAATATACTGCTGAAGGAGGAGGCCAGGCTTATCCTGCTTTGCTCCACACAAGACTCAGCAATGGAGCGGCCACAGAATGTGCTGCTTGGAAAATTACTAATTATTAATTATTAATTATTAATTATTAATTTTGGCYGATCATTTTGCTGTCAGATCAGCTSGCGACTCGCTCACAGCCGCATGTCTTTGATGTCCATGGCAAGGGAAGGGACAGGAATAAGGTCACTCCTCCTGGCGAGCACATGGGCGTCCACCAGAAGAAGGTGTCATCGAAGCCACCTCCCTCCACGTGCAGGATGAGCATCCCTCCACTTGCAGCTACATGCTAGGGAAGCAACACGTGAAGGGAATCCCTCTCCTGAGGATGGAAGCAAATGTGCTGCCCCCATAGGAAAAACTACCACTTGGGCTGGGATTTTTGAAGGGGACAAGGAGTGGAGGACAGAGCTGTGCAGAGGAGCACGCACAGGTGCAGCACATGTGGCGCGTTCCCTCTGTGCTCTCTTGACCGTGTTGGCCAACACCTGTCTCCGGCTTTTAAAGAGCAGCCAGAAATGCTGCCTTGGCTGCTGGAGGAGCACGTGCTCAGTGCACGACCTTGGTGAACTTCCCGTCCACGCTGCTGGCTTGCGAGGCTCCAACCTCGGCTCGCTGCTGTGCTCAGCGCAAGGTCCGTGCACAAGCTGAGCTCACCTGGAGTGTCCTGGTGCCCCAGGCCAGTGCTCAGGCTCTGCTCCTCAGGCTCAAGCTGTGCAAAGCATTTGCTGGCACAAAAACCACGCGGGCAAGTCCAGACTTACGAGCGGCTCAGCCTCCTGCTTGCCTGACGGGACAGATCCTGCCCTTCCTACCAGCAACCTGTCCCCTAGATGGGCTTTTAGCCTGACATCTTCTCCATGGAGCCACTAAACAGACATGCAGGCTACCAATTTTAAATGATTTGGGTGGGGGGGGTTTGCTTCAGCCACCCCTTCATACAGCAGAAGCCTCTTGYGAAAGAGGGGAAAGAAGGGCTCCAGGGGAAATTGCCTTCACCATTCCATCTGCAGTGGAAGCTCTCGTAGGAGACCYCTTCCTACCGTGCTAGCATCTACTCCAGTTTTTATATCAAAGCCCATCGCGGCGGCTGCTGCGGCCAGGCAGCGCGCGTGACGAAAAGCACGGCCGAGATGGGCCTTGACGGGCGTCCAGGGAGCGTCTGGACCTGCACTCACTTTTCCAGCAGGACAAGGGCCGTGGTGGGGTTCACGCGAAGGTACTTGCACGTGGGTTGCCCGTAGTCGGCCAGATACGTCGACCAGTCCCACTGGATAAACAGATCTAAGAGCTGCAGCACAAACAGGGAGGAAACAAACAAGAAGAGGTTTTTAAGAGTTGGCTGGAGAGCGCGTTTAGCTCAAACTTGGCAAAAAATCTGGACAGGTGCCATTCAGCAGGAAAAAAAACATGCAAAGCCCTTTATGGTTTTAGCTAATTCAGCCGTATCACAGTCCTTCGTCGTGCGGCCTCTATTTTAGGGGAGAAATGGAGAAATGGAGGGGCTCCGTGCGCAAGGGAGGAATCAAACACCTGGAGCAGGTCAGCTGGGCCCCAGGGATTTCTCGTGGTGCCCGCTGAGACTTCTTCACATCTTCAAAATGTCTTTAACGAACAAAGCTCCCCCGGGGAGGCACGAGGACATCCAGGAGGGCAGCGGTTTATCTTAGGTTAATGCAGCTACAGGAGGAGCCTGGGAGTCTCAGGTGGTTTCCAGACGTTTGTTAGAGAAACCACTGCCATCCCCAGGCAGCTCTGGGGGGAAGGTGGCAGTTCCTCTCATCTCAAGGCCTTCAGCTCTACAAAGTGAGCACCTGTGTGTGTCACACGTGTCCTCACACATGTCCTCTCCCCAAGGTCCCCGTGTTCCCTGCGGCCTTCCCAGCATCAGCCCATGGGCTGGCCTTGACCTTGGGCAAGGAATAAGCAAATGAATCCCAGTTTTCCCAAGTGCTTCCCTATGAGCTGGCATCTCAGAAGCTCCTTCAAGCTTCAGCCTTGCCCATGACGACTGCCTGGGACACCTGCATTTTCTCTGCCCTCTTCCCAGCCGCTCTCACAACATACTTGATGTCTCATCTTGCCTACTCAACGCTCATGTCGATGCCTTTTGCAAGCACAATTTGGGCAGCTTTTGCCACCAGCAATATTGCCCCAAACCTGCGTCCTCCCRACCTGATCCCCCCCCATTCCCTGGCAGCTCCTGACTTTTTCAGGGCAGTGAATGGGACAAAGCAAGTTTTGGTGGCCCACCAACCCCAGCAGCCTTGGAGTAGCTAATGAAGTAGCTAAAAACATAAATAAGGTAAATAAATAAATAAATAAATAAATAAATAAATAAATAAATAAATACATAAATAAATAAACCACTGCCACCAGGCTTGAAGACCCCAGCCAAGGCATCACAGCAGTGCACAACACGACTGGGCCCTCTGACCAAGAGCTTTAATGCCACTTGCCACCCTACGCACGGGGCTTCACCGTCCCGCCGCTCTCCAAGGCGGCCCTAACGAGGCGGTCGCTCCCACTAAACCTCCGTCCCTCTTGGCCTCGCCGGGCTCCTGCCGCCGCAGCGCCGGAGCCGGCAGAGGCGCSGAGCGGCTCCCGGCCCCGGGGAACAAGTTAATTAAGAGCGGCCGCCTCCTGTCGCCCCTGTGACCGCTCTATCGCCGCGGGCCCCGGTGCCAAGCGCCACGGACGTCTTCATTCGCCCTGTCCCGGCGGGGCCCCGCCAAGCGGCGGCCGCCACAGAGGCCCCTTTGTGGCGGCGTCTCCATGGCGCTGCCTGAGGCGCGGCGCGAGGCGGCGGCCCGCGCTGCCCGCGGGCTTTGGCCCCGCCGCTGCCTCGGGGTCCCGGCGAGGAGCGCGCCACACGATCCGCCCGGACTATGTAGGTCAGGGCGAAGAAAGCCAGCGGCCGGGAACAATGGCCGGCCGCGGTGGCGGGGGGTGAAGGGATTAGGCRGCAGCTCGCGGGGCTTTTCTGAGGCGGCGCGTTTGCCCGGGAGGGTCGTGACGGGGCCGTGCGGTGCCCGCGGGACGGGGGGTTATCCCAAGGGAAGCGCTCGCGCCCTTCCCGGGCTCTTCCCGCATGCCGGGCACCTCTGGGAGCGATCGCCCCAACCTGCGGGAGGCTGCCGGGGGCCACGCCACGGCGGTGACGGATGCTCGGTGTGTGTTGGGCACGTTGACCCACATCCATCTGGGAAGAGCGGGATAGCTCCGAGGTGCGCGGGGACAGCCCGGCRGCGCCTTGGGCTTCGCGGGCGCAGCGATGCCGGGCGCTCATCCGGGGACAGCCGAGGAGAGGGCGCTTGGACAACGCTCGGGGCCGCCTCGCTGCCATCTATCTGTCACATAAATGTGGTTTTATTGGTTTTACTGTTTAAACTTTTCACCTCTGCAGCTAAATCTGAAAAAGGGGGTGAGGGGGTGGAAAAACAAAGGAAAATAAGTAGTTGTGCGCACAGGCCCCCAGCAGCCCCGCTCCGCTGAGGGCTCGGCGAGTCTTCCGGGGCAGATTCCAACATAAAATATGCAAATACCATTAATTCTTCCAAGTAAAGAGTCTCCTTTTCAAGGCTATAAATCAAACTCGACAGCGCGCGCACTGGGGGGAAAGGAAAAGAAGGGGGGGGGAAGAGAAAAAGGGGAAAAAAAAAAAAAGAAAGGAGCTTTGATTGTGCTTATATTAAAGCGCGCAATAGGCTCGGGAAACTACAGCTGGGCTGTGCAGACAGCAGGCTTGCAGCTTGCGAGAAACCTTGATTCTCGGGAGTGAGGAAAGCATGCAAAAAACAAGAATAAAAACACAGAAGGGGCAGGTCGATCTGTTCACAGGTGTATTTATGAAAATGAGGACATGGAGGAAGGTTGGTGTRCTGCCTTCAAAAGGGAGGTCTGGGAAGAGGAGGGTTCTTAGGTGCACACATAGCGCAAGCAACACCGTGAACCTCCAGGTCCCGGCCCAACTGCAGCCTCTGCTTTGTGAGGGCCGAACTTCACCTTCTCTCCCTCCATCTCCCTAAAACAAAACTGCTCAAAACGCTTCTTTTCCACCTCCCTCATCACTACCAAGTTCTTCCAAGCGCAGATTATTTCCCAGCATGGTTTTGCAGCCCTCCCATCAAGTGCTGGGACAGGATGGCTACAGTTTAAGAGCGCGTTTGTGGCGACGGGGACACGACAATGCCTCTGCGAGCATCTCCCCTCCACGCAAAAGCCAATGCGAGACAGTGTGTTCCCTTCGACATGAGCCGACAGCGCTGGGTCTGGAGAAAATTCTTCCAGCCCAGCCAGAAATAGCGTAATGCGAATCCAAACTGATTCGAAACAGAGTCGGCGAGCGTTGCCAAGTGCGTCTGGAACGACATCAAAGCAGGCGCTGCAATTTGCACACTTGCACCAGGATCGCAGCGGGCGCCCTATGAACCCGGGAGGGGATGCGCAGCCTCCTCCAACTTGGGTTTGCACCTAGAAATCCCACCAGTTCCCGAGGCAAAAAAACTGGCACGGAGCTGACTCGATCCGTGAAGATGCTGGGACAAACCAGAGGCCACCAAAGCCCGAGAGAGTTGAAGCTTTTCGTGGTGGTCTCCGATCCTCAAAGCCCAGCTTGAAAACTTGACAGCTGGGTTGGCCAAGAAAACCATGATCCCCATAGACCAACTAAAGGGTTGACTTTGCATTATTCTGCAGCCAAAGACGTAATCCTGCTCTTGAAGAGGAAGATGAGAAGCAGAAAGTGGCAGCAWGGCACAACATTTCCTCGGTGTCTCATCCAGGGTGCTACATGTTCCCAGACCAGGTATTGTCTAGGAGAATTCTGTCTGCCAAAGGAGTTGCCCAAATCTTCCTACCAGCAGTAGGTCAAGACATTATGCAATGGGTAAAATGATGGAGCTGCACGAACAAGAAAAAGGAATGTAGAGTTAAAGATGACAGAAAAGGGTGGCTTGTACTCTCCAAGGTGCAACCTAGGTGAAAAGGACTTGTCCTGCCTTGCAGCCCCAAGGACCTCTTCTGCCCTTCTGCAAGCATGAACCATGAAGGTCAAGCATCCTCATAGTAAGGATAAGTGGAATAAAAACTCCTGATTTCCCTGACTCAGAGCAACACTAGCCCCTATAGCTCCTGCTCCAGGCTCTCCTCCCAAATGGGGGACACATTTAAGAGGAGGTTGTAGGCCTTGGATGCAACACGAGGTTGTGCCCAAGGCGACCTCTGCCAAACTGAGATGCAAAACTCATCCCAACTCAGAAGTGAAGAACAGCTGTCCAAAAACGCTAAGCTGCTCCAAGACGCAGGGCTGTTTRCAGCCAGAAGCAGAAACCCAATGGTTTCTGGCAGACAACTTGYCATTTTTCACATCCCTGATGAAGGAATGGGGTTGCACAAGAGCCATCAAGAGCCAAGACTGGTGCCTGCGGAAGGCAGAAGAGCCATCGTGGCCTCTGTGCTCGCACTGGTATTTTATTTATTACTAGGCCCAATTCACACATAAATGACCCCCATTTATAAAACATCTATCGTCAGAGGCAAACTAGCATGGTGGACACACAGATACGCAGTAACTGGATAGTCCAAGAGTAAACCGAGTAATAATTGCTATTAAAAAACAAAAACCCACGAGCAGCACGCGCCAACACACGCAACGGGATGAAGAGGTGGAGACAGCTACAGCCCATGAGCTGGCAAATCCGTTAACCTGCTCCAACAAAACCCAAGGCAATTACAGCGGCTATCTCGCCCTGTGCCGAGCTGAAGGTATTTGAGGTGACTCGTTGCCTCTGACAGCAGGAGACAGAGCGGCGTCTGGGCGAGCCGGCCCCGCGTGCCAGCGGTGACAACGGCGGGCGCCCCAGTGTTTTCCGACTGTGGGGAGTTTCAGGGCAACAGGAGGCCACCTGGAAAAGCAGGGTGGATGGGGCGGCTTGGCCAGGCTTGAGGTGGGAGTCTTGAGGGTCTTCGCCATTCCCCTGGGTGCTCCTCTTGGTGACCCAACAATGCGGAGGAGAAGCTGTAAGGTACAGGGAGCAGCTTGGTCCTTGCGGGAGCCACCGGGAGCTGCCCAAACGCAGGGCTGAGCTTCTCTGCAGGATCTCAGCACACATGGACAAGGCCTGTCTGGCTCCCACAGGCACCTTGAGGAGGACAAGCGACCCCTAAGCTGAACCAGGAGCAACCTGTGCCCAGGCTGGCAAACCAACAGTGCCCACCACAGGYTGGGCAGCCCCAGCTGATGGGCGACTGCTACACAGAAGCCCAGAGAGATGCCAGCAGCGGCATCAC